CTAACTACTGTTCACTCTTGGCTTTGTTTTTTATTACTCATTTTCATATGTTTAATTGTCATTAAAATGTTCGGCAAATATCTGCAAGGCATCTTGCCCTGCAGTTGCTGAAATGCTTTGTCTACCTAAAGAACCCAAATCTCACCCTATGGTGTCATGCTCTGGGCACAGCAGACAGAGGGACCTCCCTCGCTGGAGAAGCAGGGAACACAGTGCCAGGCCAGCAGGGGACCCTGCCTACAGCATTTGTCTTTTAAGGAACTACCAGGACACTCTTACTGGGAGGAGGCATCAATGAGATAACCTAGGGGGTGAGCCTCCCTGCCTCCCGCCAGAACTTGTCTTCACACTTCAGACCCTGTGAATTCCAGTTCTGTCCGCGGAGCCACCATTGTCCAGCAGCCTCTGGCAAAACCAGAGCTCCTCTCTGCCTCCTTTCTCCCCCCCAGGCCCCTAGGGGAAGATGATCCTGCTTTCTTGGAATCTGCCCTCCCCTGGCCCTTGTCCAGGCTCTCCTCCTTGCGTCTGCCTCTTTGCACTTGCTGCTTGGCTAGTCTCCCAGGCTCCAGTTTCTCCACACCCCAAGTCCTCTGCCCTCTGCCCTCTGCCCTACTGGGACTCCACCTTCCCTTAAAACTGCAGCAGCTCCCCCTAGAGGAAAAAGGAGGAAACGCAGTGGGCCCTCAGAGCCTTCTCCAATGGGATCCAGACATTTCCATTTCCCCCACTTTACCCTGCACAGACCTTCAAGCATGCTGTGACACGGTCTATCACTGGGCAGGAGTGCCTTTGGCTCAAACCTCATTTTCACAAAGAGCTTCAAATTTAGACTTCCAACCGTAATCTGCAAATGAGGCTATGCATAGAGTCTCAGAGATAAACGAACAGATGTTCCCACACAACCTTATCGTACGTCTCCTGTTACTGGGCCACATTATCTGTGGGGAACCATAAATTAATATATTTTAAGTAAATGATGTAATTATTCTGTAATTATCTTTTTCTGTAATTGTAAAGCATAATTATCTAGCATTATGTTTTGTGTTAAAATAATTTAATTGTTCAGTGTAATATATTTTTAAATGATCACAAAGTTTATCATTCTGTTGAGCATTTCTTTCTCTTACCATCTTCTTTCTTCCTTCCTTTTTTTGGGGGGGGCAGGGAAGAGGTTCATTTTTGAGCATGCAAGATCTTTTTTTTTTTTTTAATGGCTTGGTTTTCCTTGTTTCTGCCTTGGGTGTGGCTTTCTCCCCTCCTCCCCCAAAGTATCTCTAGCTCCCCATGCCTAGACTTCTTCCTGCCGAGCTCAGGCCAGGCTCCTCCAAGGCCTCACCTCCTCACCTCTTAGCCTAGTCACAGCACACAGCCTCACCTCCCTGAGCTGCAGCACAGTGGCAACCCTATACCACCTTGAACCTCAGATTATCTTTCGTCCTGCGCAGTCATGTCTTTCCAGCTAAACTGGAAGCAGGGCCCGTGTTTCATTCTCAGTTCTTGGATCCACAGCTTCCCTCCAGGTGCCCCGAAATCCCATAAGCCCCGCAGTGCCCCATAAGCCTTAACTCAGCCTGCTGAGGATCAAGCTCATCGTGCCTGTCTGTAGACTCTCCTTAGGGAATGTCCTTTAGGATGGACATTCGTAACCAGAGTCCTTGGATAGGTTTCAGGGGGCTCCCCATGAACCCTCCAAAATCGGGCAAAATCTTCTGTGCATGTGCAGTTTTGCTTTATGATGAGAGTTACAGCTTTCATCAAAGTCTCAAAGGCCTGTGACCTAAAAAAATGATGAAGTCCTGCCCTGAGGTGCTCCAGGGTACAGCACAGAAATGAAGGAAAGAGCTCAGTTGCCTCATCTGCAAAATGGGAATAGAGATGCGTGCCCGCATGTGAGGGGTGCCCAGGAAATGGCAATTATTAGTATTCCTGACCTAGTCCCAGAAATTCCTCACAGGAAGGAGTCCCCCAACCCAATGCCTTAGGTCAGAGGTTCCCAAACTTGGGTAATCATCAGAATCACCTGGGGTGCTTTAAAAATACAGGTTCTTGCCCTCCATTCCAAGCCCAAGGAAAGAATCTCCAGGAGAGAACCCAGAGACCTACATCTCTATCAAGCCTCCTCCCTGATAATTCTGATGGTCAACAAGGTCTGGGAGTCATCTCTCCCTTGCTCCCCAGACTTGCACCCTACCTTCCACCGGGCTTCCTCACCCCTGCCTTTGCTCGTTCTGAGAAGGACACGTGTTTAAGGAAATGGCCAGAGCCTCTGCAAGAACAGCAGGCTGCAAAAGTCTTTCAGAACAAAGAATTAAGTATCTTTATAATTATATCCAGGCCTATATTTAGGCCATGGCTCACATGGCCTCTTGAACTTCAAATAAATACCTATTTTGTTCCTTGTTTAAACAGGTGTAGCAATATCGGGGGATACTAGATTTATCCGGGCAGGAAGGCAGCTCCCACAGCTGTCAGAAAGCACACTGCCCTTTCATTCCTCACAAGAGGAAAAGCTAATTATACTGTCATAGAGCAAAATAAATGTACAATTTCTACCCCTGAGCTCACTGAACCACTCAGGGCAAATTTTTTTCTGGGCTGCTTTCTGGCAGGACTCAGGGCCAGCTGGCTTGGCCCATGCTCAGATGTTTTAGAAGCCACTGTAGTGGGCGATTCTGGGTTGGTGAGGCCTCCTGCCCCCAGAATGCCTACACTCTCACTCGAACACACACCCACACACGCTCAGTCACACACTCCCATCCACATGCACGCACATGCTCTCATACACTTGCACACATTCCCATAAACTAATGGGCAAATTTCTCACACACACTCATGTGACATTCACACAAACTTCCACACACGCACATTTTGTGCACACACACACTTTTGCACACACACACAGACACACCCCTCCTCTCATGCCAGAATGCACCACCCAACCATGATAGTTTGTTCCCGTGGACTTCTGCCTTCCAGTTCCCTGTCAAAATCCCTGGGACTTTCCTGTTTTGGGGACTTAAAGTCTCATGTCTGGGAACACCCCTCTCCCCTAAAGTCCTGGGCAAATGGAGATGGCTGGTCCTAAAAAGCATCTGCTCAGGCAGAGACCCAATATGCTTTCCCAGCCATGCAGGGTCCTGTGAATGCGGGTCTACCTGCTCTCCTGAGTCCTGGGGCCCTGACAGCTCCCATGGTTACTGGCTTGGCAGAGCTGACACACCCAGACACACTGGGGCCCTGACAGCTCCCATGGTTACTGGCTTGGCAGAGCTGACACACCCAGACAGTCCTCCCAGTGACAGCAGGCTCGGGTAAGGGATATAATCCGACTGGGTAGGGATCCTACAGTGGTCCTGACCGCACATTAGAGTCGGCCTGTACCTTGATGCCCAGGCCCCACCATACACAGTATGGTTTAACTGCCTGCGGTGGGACCTGGCATTCACAGCTTTCTCTAGCTTCTGAGCTCATTTGAATGCAGTCAGGACTGAGAGTCACTAAATCCAGGCAAAGTGTCCATCAGCCAGGTCACTCCCTGGTGCCTTCCTGACCCTTGGCGAGTATGTGTGGGGCTTACAAAGCTGGCGACACAGCCGAGGTCATGTCCGGAGAGAGGATTACTAAATCTCCCCACTTTCGGACTTTGAAATGGACATGTTATCCTGTAACTGATAGACCCAAGTCCAGTTTGCACATAAAGAATGTCCGATTATGCCACTTGCTGGAGGTTCAACCCAAACTTTATTTGCAACCGAAAGGAGCTTTCCAAGCAGCAGTTTTGACTGCGGCTTGCCACCTACAATGGTAGAAAAAGGCAGTTCTTTGACTGTATGAGAGGGAGCATTCCTGTAGGTGGAACAGCCTGGGGATGAAGAACAGTGGCTTGGAGGGGGCAGCAAATGGATTGGAGGAAAGAGCAAGGACTTTGGAATTTGCTGGAGTAGAGGGTGTAAGCTTTTTCTCACCTGTCAGCCCTGGTGTGTGAACTACGCTGAGCCTCAGTTTTACCAGGTGCATAACAATACCTACCACAAAAAGTTCTTGCTAGTTTATCAGTGACTAAGCACAGGACCTGGCTTAGCGTTGGCGGTAAGTTAATGACAAATGACAGCTCTTGAAACAAATGAATGGGGATGTTGTCTTATTCTTCGTGTTGTACCAGAGTGTTCCCATCAAATCCAAAAGAGAGGATTCTACTCGCAAGTCACAGAAACAATTAGTTAGCGGAGACTACTGATTTCCTGTTGTCATTTTAACAAACGACCATGAACTTAGTGACTTAAAATAATGCAAATTTATTATTTTACGGTTCCGGAAGTCAGAAGTCTGAAATGGGGTTCATTGGACTAAAATCAACATGTGGGCGGGTAGCATTTCTTCTGGAGGCTCTGGAGGAGGATCCATTCCCTTTCCTTTTCCATCTTCTAGAGGCTTCCAGCATTCTTTTGGCCTCTTTCTCCATCTTCAAAGCCAGCATCTTCAAATCCTTCTCTGATTCTGATGCTCCTGCCTCCCCCTTTCACTTATAAAGACACTTGTGATCTCACTGGGCCCACCCAGGGCCATCTCCCCATCTCAAGATCATTAACTTAATCTCATCTGCAAAGTCCCTTTTGCCATGTAAAGCAACACATTCACAGGTTCTGTGTGGATGAAGAAGTAACTTTTGGATGGCCACCATTCGCTTACTACACAGGGACAGCTTTGTCACTTTTAAGCTTTTTACCTTCCAAAAGTTTTCTTCCAGTCTTTGACACCTGCTCCCACTTAGCTGCTAGCAAACGCTGACAGACAGCTAAAAACATCATTGAACAAATTAGCATCACCAGACATTCAGAAACTGCCAGTCAGGAACTTCAATCGTTTCCTTTGTGTGTGTATGTGCATCTCTTTATTGATGGTTGTGATTTCATAGTACATGCCAGAGCACAGGCATAGTTTTTGCTTGTAAAATTGTTTCTAGCACATTTGAGGGGACTAATCGGGGACATGGTGCCCTGCAGAGATGACCTTGACAAGTCTGAGGACCTCTGACCTCTGACAAGTTTGAGGACCACCCTCCCCCCCAAGGCTGCCAGGCTTAGAACTTTACAAGACCACTCTTCCCCTGAGAGGGGGACCATTGGCAACTCCTCCTGTGTGGGTTTTTGTATTTCTGCTGGAGGAAGGAAAGGCCTGAATATGCAGCAAGCTCTTATGTTCTTCAATTGAGTAGAGAACTTAAATCTGGAGTTTGGACAGGAAACTGGAACTCAGTGGGAGGTCTGTGAGGGTGGAGGATGGGGGTGCTTCCAGGCTTTCAAAACACAAAACAGGTGGTTTTCAGCGGTGCTGGCTGGCTGGGGAGAGGTGGGGAGGGGAGGGGTGAATACAAAGTAGGCAGGCTTCTGGATGGGTAGGGCTGGGGCCTGCTGCCAGGGCTGGCTGCCTGAGAGTAGACAGTGACCAGGTGAGGGCCCAAACTTCCCTGCATGCTGCTCCGGAAAATCCTGGGACTGCCAAGAGGCTCAGGGAGGAACCTTGACTCCGGACTGGGAAATGCTCAAAAGTGGGAGTCCAGCCAAGCTGAGGCCCCTGAAAAAGACCAGGAAGCAGAGTGGCAGGAACTCCTTCCTCTGATGAATCAGCAAGTGATGTGGGCGACAAGGAATCCGAAGCCATGAGCCCAGCCAGAGGCAGCATCAGCCAAGTCTGACAGGCTTTAATTATTTTAGGGTAAGAAATCTGTGCTTTGTAAACTTGCCAGATGTCTATGCTTTCGTATATTTTGATTTCTTGTTTTACTTTTTGTTGTTGTTGATGATGTTGTTTTGGTAAAACTCTAAATAAGAAGAGGGTCACAGAGTCTTTGTCCTTTCCTGGGAAGGCCCAGCTGGAGAATCAAGGCATCCTTGCACAGCTGAGGCCCCTGGTGAGGTGAATCATAGGAATGTGACCAATCTCAACTCCAGCAGTGGCTGCCCTGCTTGTGAATCTCCTGGGAAGTCTTTAATTACCTCTTGAACACATTGTGTGAATGACAGAAATGGTGATTTTAGTGGCACGTTAAGCATGGGGACAATAAGCACAGGCCCTGAAACGCACAACTTAGCCATGTCCCATCCTGATCACCAGGCTGGATGACAATGCTTTTTTAAGTAGCTTGGCAGATCATGCAAAATGCCACCTGGCTCCCCAAAGGGCCTTAGCTGCCCATTTTCTCTTTACCCTCTCTAGCCCTTATACAAACAAAAAAATAAATAGAAGTCTACAGTCTTTGCAACAGACCTGCCTGACATCAATTTACCCTAACCTCTGGCAAGTGGCAATCCTCACAGAAGCTCCAAGATGTTTTCAACACGAGGATTTTAATGTGCTCTCTAAAGTATGAGTAAAGTATGAGTATTCTAATGGCCATTTTCCTGACAAGGCGACCGGGCTCAAGATACTAAATGGTGACACTAGTTGAGTGATCCTGTGAGAAAGAGATAAATCTGTGCACAGAATAAGGTCCAAGGGCCCCAATTCCCTGCATGTTCCATCAGACATTTGAAATCTCTCAGTCAAGCATGTAGCAAATGGGTGTCCCAGGACTGGCAACTGACTGATAGGTCCCAGAGCAATCATTCCAAGCTATTGTCCAGAGAACATCTCCACTGTTCACACTTGAGGGAGGCAGGGGGAGTGGCGGCAGAGAGAAGGGATGAGTAATTTATTCAGGAGCTGGAAGCGGAGAAACAGATTTGGTAAGCAAATACTTCAAAGCTCACTAGAGAACTCCCATAAAACACAGACCCTCTGCAGCAACCAGGGAGTGATTTAAATCCACTTGGAATTTCTAGGAGGAAAGAGGAAGACTTATCAACTCTGTGCAGAGCCTCATGAATAATTTCACCTGACACAGGACACTGAACCAGCAGAAATCTGGGATGTACAAAGGAAAAGAGGTCTCCAACTAATCTTTGTTACTCAAGTCTTTATTCCTAAGTGAGGAACCAGGGTGGGTAAGGGAAGCCTAGACAGGAAGTTCACCATTTTTAGCTGCATTATTTTTTTGCCTTTGTGAGAGAAATGCTGGATAGGAAACACATTTTCTGGCAGCCATCACCTCACTGGCTGCGTGGGCCGAGAGAAAGGCCGCACACCCTCGGACTGCCAGGATGTGGCCGTCACTCGTGAGTCCCTCTAGGCTAGCAGACAGTGAAAGGGGGACTTCGAATGAAGGAAACCCCTAAGCCGGATCTGCAAAGGTGGTGGCCACAAGTTACTCCTGTTGCCTTAAACCCCAGGCTGCGATCCCCTCCCACCCCACCTCCTCTGTCCACACTGCAGACCCACTGCCCCCACCCCCTCACCGGCTCATCAAGTTACTGTGAGGAAGCGGCCAGCCCTGGCCTTGTGGAAGGGTGCGTCCCCGCGCGTCTTCCCTTCTCTGAGATGGGCCGGGAGGCTCCCTACTCTGAGATGGGCCGGGAGGAGCGGTGGTGCGGAGTTGCCTGAACCTTCTCGAAGATCCCGGGGGGGGTCCCTGTCCGCAGGAATCACCTCTGTCCCCCCCGCCCCCAGAGCGCAGCCCTTCCCGCCCGCCCGCCCGCGCACAGCACATCCGCGCGCGACCCGGGGGCCCACTGTCGAGGTGGCCGCGGCGGCGGCTCTGGCTGCCAGGACCGAGGAGAGGTCGCGCTGCTTTCCCCCCGATGGCCGCAGGGGGGCAGGAAAGAAGGACTAAGGACAGAGGCCCGCCCGCCGAAGAGCCAGCGGCGCGCGGGTGAGGGCGAGGGGAGCCGGGGGGAGGAGCGGGGGGCGTAGGCGGCGGGGACCCCGGCGGGCGGAGGGCGCGGGAACCGCCGCTCGGAAAGAGCTCGGCCCGAGACACCCGCTGCTAGCCGCCTCCACACCCGGCCCTCACCCCCCGGAGCCCTGGAGGCGCCGCACCCTCCCGCCGCTGCCCACGCCGTGCGAGGCATGTTGGGGAGCCGGAGGGCTGTGATGGCCGGGGGGCCCCGCAGCCCCCGAGAGCCGGGGGGCAATCACGGCAGCCTCCGAGGGAAGGGCCCTGCGTCCCTTCTTGCCAAAGCTCCACATCCGCCCTCCCAGCCTCTGGCGTTTGGGCATTACCCTCGGTTTGCAGATATCGAGTCCTGGAGGTGCTGTGCGCCTAAGGGACATAATTTAGAACATAAATCAATTATGCTAATCCTGAGCTCTGTGGTTCAGAGAGTTTAAATTCAGGAGCAGCTTTTTACATCTAGTTGGCTGGACACCACTCCTTGTTCTGTTTTGGCCAACCGTAGCTCCTCCACGCCAGCTCTTTTATCTCCCAGTACAGACTTCCACAGATTTCCATCATTCCACCCCAAAACGTTACAGTAAACGGGCTCTCTTCCCTTCATCAAATCGTCTCCACCTCTCCTCTTCCTGCTCCCAAATCTAATTCCTGACACATCAGAACCAAAACTCCCCAAAAGACCTGGGTTCAAAAGGATTGTGAGACATTGCTGTTGTGACCCTAATAAGCCACTGTGTTAGAAAAACCAGAAAGCACCAAGTGGGGGAAACCAATAAAATGTAAGCCAGTGGGATTTACAAAGTGGTCCTAAAAACAAAGTCTTCATCTTCCTCTTCCTTTCCTCATCCTGTTAGCAAATTGTGTTCAAGTGAGGGGAGAGCACTTGGATCAGTCCACTGCCTAGTCCTTCCTACTATGAGCCAGGAAACCAGGCTCCTGATTATAGCTTGGTCTTGTTCACCCTGGTCACACTGGGCAGAGAGGGTGATCTGAGTGTGGCAGCACGGCCAAATAGGCCAGCCCTACTCCTTCAGGAACTGCGGCCCAGGGCTCCCAAGGTGTGGCTCTGTGGGTTGCTCCTTTATGCTGGGACTCCAGGGCCTTCCAGCTCCTCAGCGTCTGCTTTCTAGCTTGGCAGTGGCCCAGGCTCCTGATTTTTCACTTTCTCTTCTGGCTTCTTTTCTGGCAGTTTGGCTGATTCATTAACATCTCCATCAGAGGGTGGGCTGGAGAACAGGGAGCTTGAAACGCCGCTCAGCTCTTCTTAAAGGTCCTTCTAGTGCTGGGCTTGGTGGGAAGAGAGCCACACTGTTGGCTAAAATGAGATTTTGGGATTATCTGTGGATTTAATCTGGGTTTCTCACATCTACCATTTCCACAAATAATTAGAGATTACTAGATACAATCAGAAGTTGCTTTAGCCTTAAAGAATTTGGAGAAAATCTAAATAGGCTTAAATGCCATCTTGGAGTCCAGAATGTTAAGCTCTATGCTCCAGATAATTAACATTTTTAAGGCCTTCCCCCCTGCCCCCAGGACCCCGTGGTTAAATCACTGCTAGGTAACAATTTACTGAACACATTTTAAATATATTTCACAGGAAGGGTGAGCTGAGTAGAGAAGCAGTAAATGCACTACTGTTGCATGAAAGAGAGAATAGGCCAGGCAGCTTCGGCGATTTGAAACTTCTCTATCATTGAACATATATTCTGATGCGCGAAGTTTGAGAGGATTTTTTTATCAACCTATGTGGGAGACAGGCAGGTGGAGGATGATTTGTAGAGCCGTGCCCTCTCTGTGGGCATGAGTGTGCCGCCCCTCCTCCTGCAGAACACCCTGGACACAGAGCAGTGGGTGATACTCAGAAGGAGCAGGGCCCTTCCTCCATGCTCAGAGGGCTCCTTCCAGAGAGCAGCAGTGGAGGCAATGACATTCTTTTGATTTTTCTTTTCCCAGTGGGAGTCCTACATTAGCAGTGACATGAAAATGGCATCCTGTTATTGCAGGATGGTGGAGAATATGGTAATAATAGTATCTTGTGCTTCTGAGGGTTTGACAGTTTTCAAAGCAATTTTGTATTTGTTCTCTTATTTGAGCTTCATAATAACTGTGAGGTAAGGATGGGTATGATCACCTCCATTTCTTTCTGATGAGGAACTTAGCCACAGTCAGAAAGCTAGTAAAGAGCAGAGCAGAATTAGAATCCAGCCTTTCTGACATGCCTTTCTGATGTACCATTAAAGTTCTGTACTAGGGGCGCCTGGGTGTCTCAGTCGGTTAAGCGTCTGCCTTTGGCTCAGGTCATGATTCCAGGGTCCTGGGATCAAGCCCCAAATCAGGTTCCCTACTCAGCAGGGAGCCTGCTTCTCCCTCTCCCTCTGCCTGCCTCTTTGCCTGTTTGTGTTCTCTTTCTCTCTCTCTCTGTCAAATAAATAAGTAAAATCTTTTTAAAAATAAAGTTCTGTACTAAAACATCATAGTTTCTTATGTGACTGCATTATCACGCCTGCTCTGTGTTCATTAAATACACTGTATTCAAGTATGCCCATTTTGTACTGATTTAATTAAGCAAATTACACTCATGAAAAAATTGTGTCATTTCTAACACTCTGTCTCCTTCGGAATACCGTGATTGCAACTCTGCCCTTTAGTTGTATTTCCCCTCCTTAATAATCAGCAAGGTGTTAATCTAGCCATGTGGGACAATTTCCCAAAGTCACTTAAATTGACTTACAAAATATCACCCAGTATTCACTTTATCCATGGCTTTTCTTTTCCATTACTAGAATCTGAGTGCATACTAAGATATTCCCCAAAGGAATGGGTCAGGATCACACCTTACCAAAAGCAAACAAAACAAGCAAAAAACTCTGGCACAAATAAGATGTTTGGTACGTATAACAACTATGAATTTTATATCTATAGATGTTTTTAGGAGGATTGATAAGAAATTCTCTGACATACCCACGTGGCGATAGTCCGATTCATGCTCAAAAAAGCACTTCAGCTTTTTCCATCAACACCATTCATATTTTAGAAGACTGAATTTGCAGGGGCCTCCCCAGAGAATTTCCTTAAACCTCTGCCAACCTGCAGGGAGAAAGAGTGGAGATATTACATAAATATCTGCATCGAGTTCTTGGATAGAGTTGCACAATGGCCATATATGGTGAAAGGTAGATTTTCCCTTGTGACTATACTCTTGGAATATGTTAAATGTATATGTCTCCATTTCTGCTCTCAAAAAGCTGGTGTACAGATGTTCAGTATTGGGGTGGAAAAACGCTGCTGTCTACAGTTTACATGATGTCTAATAGGTCTCTAGAATGTGCTTAAAAGGCAGTGTTCAGAATTAGGCCTCTAACCTTCTTTGACGTAATTGTCTTTCTTTGGAGTCACATCTTGAAGGAAAGGATGAAGATCTGGAAAGGGAATTAATTTTCTCAACCAGACTTACTCTTTTCATTCTGTACTTTACAGTAATCCTTTAAACTCAAAAAAATTCAGCTAATTATGGATTTCTACCTGAATATGTTGCCATTTGAGTGGCTGCGTGTCACTGTTTCTGGTTTCTGACCCCCTGTCAGGCCAATTCTGCCTGATTTCACTCCTGTGCTGCTTTTTATAATCTGAACATTATTTCCACTCAAATGTTTCCAGCTTTGCAGAAAACCTAAGAATTTGGAAGGGGGGGAAACCTCTCGTAACTATTACTTGGATAATTATCATTTGGAGTTATTCTGATTTGTGAAGACAAAGTGAGAGGCAATGACAGGTTTGTCATTGTGAAAGTGAAAAAGTGAAAGGTTTTAGTTTGAAAGCTAAATTTCAGACTAAAAAGTGAAAGGTTTTAGTTTGAAAGCTAAATTTTCACATTTTAAAAATAGAGCTTAGGCAGTCTCTCTGGTAATTAAAATAGGATTTCCCCTCTATTTTCTATGCTCAATAAACTCAACTATTACATTATATTTTGAAATGTACAACGCTGAGTCTAGGGCATTAAACAAAGAAGTTAAAAGGCTTTGAGGGGATTTTTAAAGATCCAGTTTCCTAATATGTAAAATGGACCCTGGAAAGACTTTATGGTGTATAATATGTTTTTTCCCTATCTTCTAAATGCAATAATCTCCAACCGCCACTTGATCATTAGAGATTTATATTCACTATAATTTATGTCAACTTATATCTGGGATTCCTTTTTTTTCTACAGCGTTTGGCAGCAAACTGCTGGTAGAAACTAGAATGTTTCACATTAGCAGCCCTCTTAAATTATTTCTGTGAAATAATTTACTGTGGATTACAAATTCTTATATGGCATTTCAAGTTAATGATTAGGCAGAGAGATATATCAAAAATATGATTAGTCACATATGTACCTGACTTGCATGGCTTTAACTCACATATGTGTGTTTCACAAGAATTGTTTTTTCAAAAAGGTATTTCAGGGCTTATATATTTTTCCAATGAAAGCCAACAGATTTTTAAAGGAAAAGAAAAAGAGATATACATGCTCTTATAAACTATCTCCTCTAATTCAACGTCTATAAAATTATTTTCTGTTTCATGATGGCCACTGACAGCATAGGTACTGCTGTGTGGTCCAGAACTACAAGCACTCACAGTGGTGAAGACCTCTTGCAGAGTGACTTGAAGTCAAGATGTAAAAATCCTAAGAAAACATGAGATGTTTAATGAAAACTGTAATGTCTCTCTTTCAGTGCAAGGAATTAGTCATGAAATGGTGTATCCCTAACAGAACACGAAATGAAACGAAACCAGGAGCTCCTCATTCAAATCTCAGAATGAGCTACTTCCTAACTCATTTTCATTTTTCTACATAGTTAGAGTTAAAGCTTTGAGAGATTTCTTTGTTCAATTTCAGGAAAGTAAGACTTAGAAAGGTGGCCATGAAAGTTGGGTTCCAATTTTATTTGCATGGAAGCAGCTCCCAGAACACCTCTTTTGTATCTCAGACAGATATTTCTATTTCTCTTCCCTTCCTCTCTTTTCCTCTTTAACAGTGGTTCTCTTAACTCAACTATTTATGATTCCTTTCATGAAAGGCTAGGTTATTTCTGAGGGTACTATAATGTCTTACAGTGGTTTTAGAGACTAGCAGCAACAAGGAACTACTTTCTTTGGTGCCATAAAATAAAGCCATGGTTAATAGCCTACAACCTGCAATAAACTATTAAAAAAGGAATTTATGATGGCTAGTTATTATCCTCCTGAAATAATGTTGTTACAAGTCTGCCCTTGTCAGTCATCCCAAGATCACGTGCTGGATCTCAAACAAAGGGAGGGTCTGGATCCACACAGAGGCTCATGGCAAATTACCCAGGGACGGGATGGCCTGGCCTAATAGTCCCTTATGCCCTTCGTCACCTTTTCAAAGCAAGAGAATAATAGCCACATGTGTATTTTATCCTGATTGCACTAAAAGGCACGTGTTTGTGAGGCTGAGTTTGAATTTCGATTTAGAAAAATATTTGCATGGCCGGTGACAGCAAATTATGTGGGAGTGCCTTGGGAACAGGCAAGGCTTTTAGAAAGACAACTGGAAGCATCCTGCACACACTGAAAACTGCATGTCAACTGTTTTCCTTCTTTTTAACATTAATTTAAGTCCTGAGAAGAACTGCTTCTTCCTTTCCTTGTTCTGTAAGTACTTTCCTTCGCTAAAGCTAGGTCCATCTGGCAAGCTCCTTGTGAGTCCTCTTTGGCATCAGCAAGGAAGAGAGGAAGACAGAGCATCCTATCACACAGCTGAATGTGTTTGGGGGGGGCGGGGGGAGGAACAGGATTATTCACCAGAGGCTGGATCAGGCTAAGGCTCAGGAACCAGAACAGGCCGGCTGATGTTGCACAATCACCATAGATAAGAGGATCTACCTCAGAGAGAGAGTTACAGAGAATGAAGAATAATGAGATCGTGTGTGGTTGGGGAAGGATGGGAGATGGTCTAGGAGGTGGATGAGAAGGAGGAAAGGTGGAGAAGGAGGAGGATTAAAAGAGGAGCCAAAGGTCTGGAAATGGTTTGATTGATTTCCAAAGCTGAAGATATAAAATTCCAGGTTCTAAACCCTTACAATATAAATCATCATTTCCTGAAGAAAGTAATAGAATTTCACTGGTAAAGTCATGGCTTTCCTTATTAAAAAAAAAATTTATGTTGTGCCTGTAAATGTGAAAAAAAAAAAAAAAGCACTCTCCTAGAGTTGGATGGATGTTGCTTAATATTAAATGCTAAAGCACAGAAAATTGATTTTAAAATGAGAATAAATGAGAATAAAAATGAAAAACCAAGAACCATCACTTCTTAGACCTTCATTTAAATAAGCATACTCTAACATACTATGCTGTTTATTACTAGTTTCAGAAAGTTATCAGAAGCATCTGTTCAGTATGTTTCGAAAGCCAACTTGCTTAGTTCTGTGAAGCAATGTCTGGGTTGGTGCCTATGGAAAACAGAAGAGCACACACACGATTTTAATCCCGTTATTTTGAAAACTTGGAAAAGCTTTGGTATCATCTGAAATGGCTGATTTTTCTTATTTTGTGTACTTAGACGAACATTAACAATTTTTTTAGGAAAAAATTATGTAGATTTAGAAAACTGAAAATCAAAATCTAGAATTGAAATCATTACTTAATATAAAGCTCTGATTTGTAATTGTCTCAATATAAGTGACATCACTTCACCATTCCTTCATGGGATTATAACTCATCTCCAAAGGAAAACCTAAATTCCATGAAAATAGTGTTATAAAAATTTTGAAATTAAAGACCTAATAGAAATAAATATAATAAAACAATACATGTCATCTGCCAAAGTAATGCTAATTTATATACTAGCAACCTATTCAGCTTTTTTATACAGAATTTCAGGGCAGCCACTATCCACTAATATTTATAGAATGATGGCCTGGGTAGCAGTCCCTTGCCCTTCACTTAATCACCCAGTAAATCCAAAGCTGGAATATTTTCAACAACATTCATCAGGGATCACTTTTAAGTGACTGAAACTACCAATGATAGCCTTTTAAAAGACCATCTACTTTTGGTCAAAATGTTACTACAGAAATCATCCCCCTTTGAAGTGCTATGTATTAATTATATCTGCAATCATGCTGTCAAAATAAAGTGCCTTTAAGACATAGGAAGAGAATTTCTTAATTAAATGTAGAAGAAAAGCACAGAAGGTGATGTTCATTTTGTAACATGCTCTTATTCCATGACTATCTGTAAAGAGCCAGAGCAGGGCGCCTGGGTGGCTCAGTTGGTTAAGCGACTGCCTTCGGCTCAGGTCATGATCCTGGAGTCCCGGGATCGAGTCCCGCATCGGGCTCCCTGCTCAGCAGGGAGTCTGCTTCTCCCTCTGACCCTCCTCCCTCTCCTGCTCTCTGTCTCTCATTCTCTCTCTCTCTCTCAAATAAATAAATAAAATCTTTAAAAAAAGAGAGACTCAAATAAGTGGCCGTCTGGTCAAAAGATGGAAACTGATATGTTTAGCCATTGAAAACTTACAAGAACTTGTCACTGTATTGGAAAAATAAAATCCAATAGAAAATACAGTTTTCTAAAATGTTTTTCTAATTATCACCTTGGCTCTCTGTGGTTCTGCAAATACAAATAAATAGAAAGCTAAGTTCTTCATTTCTTCCCAAGTCCCAGCTTAGCTACAAAACTCCTAAATGAAAACACAGTTTTCTGGTGCTGTCGAAGTCAGGAGTGGTAAAGACCAGAGATGTAAGAATTCCAGGAAAGGCTGTGGAGGGGCGCAGAGGACTGTGGGAGCAATTAGGGGGTGTGCTGGAGAGTGTTCCTTTGTCTCAGACTGTCTACTCCTCATGTTGATCCACTTGCCACACTCTTGGCTATTTCAAAAAAGTGGAGTGGCTGATGTTGGTTCAATACCACAAGAAACGCTGAACTTGCTATCACCAGTGTCACCACTGCTCCCTGGTAGCAAGAAAATGCTGAAGTGAGCAGTTGTTGAATCATAAGATGTTAGAGCTGCAGGGGACATTCACGGAGTCTCTCTGGGTACAGTTTCCAGCTACACAGGGGCTAAACTGGAAGTAGAGTAACTCTTGACTCTCAAGCCACAGTTGTTTAATAAGGATATATCACAAATTGGTTTAGCCAGGGGGTTATAGATTTTAACATATTTTGTAAGATTTACACCTAAATAGTTCATGGTTTTCCAAATCACAAACTAGAGTCCAGCTCCCTTGAGTCCCAAATTAAACATGGAGCACTTGTGTCCCATCTGAGCCACAGAGACCAATGTTGTCCAAAAGAAATACAATGTGAGCCACACACGCCATTTAAAATTTTCTGGTCGCCACACTGCTTTTTTTAAAGAGGCAGGGAGAGGGGAAGAGAGAGAGAGAATCCTAAGTAGGCTCCATGCCCAGCGTAGAGCCTGACGTGGGGCTCGATCTCACAACTCTGAGATCATGACCTGAGCTGAAATCAAGAGTCAGACGCTCAACAGACTGAGTCACCCAGGCAGCCACACTGTAAAATGTAAAAACTGAAATTAATTTTCATAATTGTGTATTGGTTATTTATTGCTGTGTAACAAATTACCCCAAAACTTAGCTTGAAACACACATTTATTATCTTACAGTTGCTGTGCATGAGTGGTTTAGCTGGATCATTTCTGGCTCAGGGTTTCTCTTCAGTTGGCAGTCAAGCTATTGGCTGGGCTACACTGACTGGGGCCAGAGGGTCTGCTTCCATATAGTGTTACTCACATGGCTGGCACTTGGTGCTGGCTGTTGGCTGACGTGCCTCAGTTCTCCTCCACATGACTTCTCATCCTCCAGGCTCTCTCATCTCCATTTGGCATCTTCAGCATGTCCTTTACTGGTGACAGGGCTCTGAAGTAGAGGAGAGGGAGGAAACTAATGTAGGGGAGAAGGAGCACCCAAGAGAGAAGCTGCATTTTGTACATTTTGTAATCTCATCTTGGAAGTTATATTCTATCACTCCTACCATATTTGGTTTGTTAGACTTGACCCATTAAGTCCAGCCTACATTCTTGGGGAGGGAATTACACATATAGGTTATTGGGAGTCATCTTAAAAGTAGTCTATCACAAATTTTAATTACCCCAACATACCTAAAGGATTATTTACAGTATTGTTACATAATCAATATAAAAATTTTTAATGAGATACCTTATATTTTTTTCATACTAAGTCTTCAAAATCTAGTATGCATTTTATCCTTACACTGCATCTCAATTGGATGAGCCATATCCCAAGCACCAGTAACCACATGCGGCTCACAGTTACGATAGCACAGGATGTATCTAGATGCTCTGCAGCCACCTAAAGACTCAGAGACCCTAACTAAGGGGAGCTTTTTCACCAGGAACTGAAAAACTGAAGTGATTTAACAGATCTGTACCAAGCGTTTACCATGTTCCAGGCATGGTGCTAAATATGGGGAACTCCAAATCAGTAAATCATCGTGCCTGCCCTAAAGGAACTCAGCCAGACAAATAAGTTAACTTCTAAATACAGATCAACCATTCTGGGCCCACCTCAGGGAACTCTCACCTGTGATGGGTCCTAGAATGAAGCAGAACTCAGTCTCTCCCCATTCCTTGGGAAGGAGGATAACCCAGAGTTTTTTTGGCTCAGCCAAAACCTCTGACAATGACCGTATGCATCATTCCCTCCCAGGCCCAACCTGAGGCTATGTCTCCAGCACTAAGCTGGAGCCCATATGTTGGCCTGAAATCTGATTTGCCTTGGACATGGAGCAAATTAAATATTTGTTTAACTCAGAACATTGTACTTTCCACGATTCTCCATAAGCAAGACCTGTAGGGGAAGGGAGATATAGGGGGTACCTTAACTATTTCAGGTTTCTTGGGTGCTTTGGAGGTACACTTCATCCTTACACCAAGCTTCATCTATATGCGACTAAATTAATATGGAAAAAAAGTCCTTAATGATCTTACCAGCTATGAATGGATTTAGCAATGGGGAGCATTATTTTTAGTCAATTCTCTGCCCTAACTCTAATAATGCAAATTTCTTTGCTTTTGCAGAATGTACATATGTATTTGACTTGAATCTTTTCTCACAGTTTATGTCCTGAAGTATATTTGTGTTGTTATAAGCATAACTCTGTGCAGCCAGGACCTACCAGAGGAGCTTCCCATCTCCCAAAATAGCACTTACATGCTATTTATTAATAGTGATATACCTGGCAGTCCAGTTAAAGAATTCTGGGTTTCATTTGGGGGAACTGTAATATACTTTTCATTGGGGGGGGGGAAGCAGTTTTCTGAGTGGTTTTCCTACCAAGGTAAATAGTAGTCATTTATTTTCAAGTTAGAGGAAAACCCATGCCTGTCTCAAAGGGAAGAAATCAGTTTCGTTCAGATGGTGTCTGGAAAAATGGTCTTGAATACCTTCTTTCCTTATTTCTTGTCTTCATAAAAATATTGTTTAGAGAAAAAAACTGTGTGAAGACAGTTTCAAGTAAAGGACTACACATAAAACATGTCTTTCTTACACATAGAACTCATTTCCAAGTTTTTATCATATATATATGTATATATGCACTGTTTCATCAAGTTTATAGTAGCTGTATCTTTAAAAATAGAATATCTTTGTTCCACAACGTGGACACACACACACACCTGATGATACATCTCATTTCTGTGCCGAATATGTCATGATTTTAGTTGAGCTGCCATAGGCTAAAGCTCAACCATTCAACCTGGAAAAACATTCAGGTGGTCTGGAACATAGAAAAACCCCTAAAGCTGTTCAGCTAGAATTTGAAGGGTAAGAGTAAAACTTCTGTTCTGTGTAAATCTGTCCAAATTTAGTGTTTTACAGTATTAGGCACTACTCTAGGAGCCAAGAACTGACTTGGCCTAAAGGCCCCTGCAAGAAGACAAACCCCCATACCCTGAAGTCACCTTACATTAGAGAAATAAATGAATTTTAAACATTCCATTGTAAATACAATGAACGGCCCACACATCATTTTTTCACATGTAGAATAGCTTCATCTAAAAGCACTCTTTTAAAAGTTAGCTCCTGTTTTGGAGATTCTAAATAAAACAGCATTTTAATTGGCCTTTGGGAAGGCCAGCATGCTCAAGCACAGCATATGTGATGGGATCCTCGACAATTTTTGCTGAGTTTTAGAATGCAAATTTAAGCCCACAGTACACACTCCAGCAAATATATATGCATCTATCTACGCACAGACTGGTAGATACAGCACACAAGCATATAATGTGCAGAGGAACAGTGGCAAAAATATCTTTTTTTTTTTTTTTTATAGCTTTGGTTGAGATTTATTCTAACCTATCCCACAAAAGAAACGTTTCATCGCTGTAGTGGTGGAGGCAGTGTGAAGGATGGAGTGTGTGCAGCTCTTTGGAGAAACAGGGGGACTCCTTTAGCCTTTTCCATCCGAATTGTGATTTGCTTCTT